CGTATTACAGACAAGTTTACTATCACCATGTGATTTATAATCCTTTGGCAGCTGTTCCTATTATTAAATCTTCCCTGTAGGTATTAAGCATCCTTTAAAAAAAAAAGACTAGTGCTGGTGGCTCACACTTGCAATCCTAGAAACTTGGGAGGCTGAGTTCTGAGGATTCAGACTCAAAGCCAAAAAAAGCTCAACAACAGCACCTAGGCCTTTAGTTCAAGCCCCAGCATTGTCCCCTTCCCCCCAAAAGCCTCACAACTAACACACAAAGCATATTTAACAAAGCCTAGACTGACCTCTTATAAATCAAATTGAACTTTGTGTGTGTGTCTGTCTGTTCTGCCCTATGAGTCACAGGCTTTGGGGTGATTAATTCAAGTTAAGAGTCACAGACTTTCTGTCCCAGCTGGCTTTAAACTTTAGATCTTCAGATCTCAATCTCCTGAACAGCTAGGATTACAGGCATGAGCCACCAGAACCTGGCTTAAATTGAACTTTTACTGCATCAACACTAAAAGACTTATTGTGATAAATTATGGAAATGATAAATTCAAATCACTTATATGTATAGACATGCACATACATCTATGTACTCTAGCTTTAGGTCAGGCACTGGTGGCTCATGCCTGTAAATCCTAGATACTCAGGAGGCTGAGATGGAAGGCTTCAGGTTCAAATCCAGCCCAGGCTGGAAAGTCTTTGATACTCTTATCTCAAATTAACCACCAAAAAGCCAGAAGTGAAGCTGTGGCTCAAGTGGTAGAGTATTAGCCTTGATCACAAAAACTCAGAGACTGTGCCCAAGCCCTGAGTTCAAGCCCCAGAACAAGCACTAAGAAAAAGGAACATAGTTTTGCTGTGACATTTATAAGAGTATAATTTTGAAATTTATATCTGTGCAAGCTTGGGGGTAATGAAGAGAGATGTCAGGACCTCAAATATGATAGGCAACGACTCTACCAATGCACCAATTCCTGGCCTGAGATTTAAGAGTCTACAGATATTCTTAAGGCTCTTCCTCTTTATGACTTAACCTGCAGATGAAAAAAATTAGTGACTACATAGTTGTGCTTGAAACCATGGAGGAGAGGGATTGAGAGCACAGAAACAATGAGGTCCCCCCAACAAGAAGTTGATGAGAGGTCATGGGAGCAGCAAAGATCCAGGTAACACAAGGCTTGCATGGAAATGCTAAGTTTCAGGGCTCAGGTGGAAAATTCCAAGTCAAAAATTTAGTGGTAGAATGGAGAAGTTCCAGGCACCTGAAGAAGGTCACTGCCACTTCAATGTGGGGGTGGGGAATGTAGAATATCTGTTATAGTCTGTTACAGGCAAACCATTTGTACATGTGTACAAAGAGGTCCATGAAGAATATCTTGGCAGCTCTGCTTGTACCAGTGAGGTACTGCCAACAATTGAAATGTCCATCAGTGGGAGAATAACTAAAGAACCATAGCATATTTGTTCAGCAGCACACTCTACAGAAATTAAACTGAGGAATAAGGGTTTTTTTTTGCTAGTCCTGGGGTTTGAACTCAGGGCCTAGGCTCTGTCCCTGAGCTCAAGATTAGTGCTCTACCACTTGAGCCACAGCACCATTTCCAACTTTTTCTGAGTAGTTTATTGGAGATAAGAGTCTCACGGACTTTCCTGTCTGGGCTGGCTCCACATTGTGATCCTCAGATCTCAGCCTCCTGAATAGCTAGGATTATAGGCCTGAGCCACCTGAAGGTCGTGGGTTAGTGTTAAGCTGATTTATTTTTAACGCAATTATCTATGTACTATTGGTTGAATGGGTCTGAGTAAGGATCAGGTTCTTTCACCTCTAGATGCACTGGCCTTTATGTAGATTGTAGATTTGCTAATCTAGATCTGGCCAAGTGATGTGCTGTGTAGACTTGCAGCTTACCAGTCCATGCACAATAGGGATTGATGACCTTCCTTTCCTTCCACCCCATAGTCCGATCTAGAGGCCAAACTCTGGGGAAAGAAGAGGGTCTGCCATAAGTGTGCTGTGGATGGGTGGCAGTGGCATAAACTCTTGTCTAAGCAGATTTACAGCACCCTGCCAAGTCCAAGTATCTATAGGGAAAGCCTCCTTTTATGATATGTAGAAAAATGGTGGGGTTAGATTTCAGGGAAACAATGAGCTTTCTAGTTTCTAATCTGTTCTGCGACCTTTCTGGAGAGATCTTACATATAACACCTAGAAAAAAGGAGTGAAATCCCTTGGTCCAGTTTAGCAATTAAAAACTGAAAACTGGGCACCAGCTGGGCACCAGTGGCTCACACCTGTAATCCTAGCTACTCAGTAGGCTGAGATCTGAGGATTGCAGTTCAAAGCCAGCCCAGGCAGGAAAGTCCCTGAGACTCTTATCTCTAATTAACAACCAGAAAACCAGAAGTGGTGCTGTGGCTCACATGGTAGAGCACTAGCCTTGAGCACAAAGAGGCTCAGAGACAGTGCCCAGATCCTGAGTTCAAGTCCACAACCAACAACAACAACAAAAAAAATTGAAAACCCAAGCAGAGTGACTTCTTAGATCAATGTTTTCTAATTAGTGGACATAATGTACATATTTTGTTACTTAAAACTCCTTTATTTTAAATCAATGGCGTATGTATCTTTCTGTTTGACAAACTGGAAATGCCTAGGTTCAAACTCTAGGCGAGGGACTTAAAAAGACATCCTTCCTCCTTTTGCAGAAGGGGTGATCATGTTGGAGCTCTGTCTCACAGGACTTGGGAAGGAATCATCACCCTGACAGTTACTGGCCTTGTGGTTACTGCTTTTCTAGAGACTGGAAGAAAAAGGTTCACAGCACACATCAATTGTTTCTGCTCTTCTGCATCCCTTCTGCCTTTTTTTTTGGCAGCAACAGTAATTTTTTTTTAAGCAATCCACTTGTCTCCCTTTTATGTGAAGTACCAACTAGCAGACTGGAAATACAGCCTAAGCAAAGTCAAATTCTCTTTTAGGACTTTAAAACTTCAGAAGAGAACTCTAGCGCTGGCAATTCATTCCTGTAATCCTAGCAACTCAAGAGGCTGAGCTCTGAAGCTTATTGTTTGAGGCCAGCCGGAACAGAAAAGTCTGAGACTATCTCTAACCAGCAGCACAAAGCCAAAGTGGAGCCCTGCAGCTCAAGTGGCAGAGCACCAGCCTTGAGTGAAGAAGCAAAGATGCAAGGCCCTGAGTTTAGTACTGACACATGCACTAGTGAACACAGACACCAACACACAGACAGACAGACAGACAGACACACACACACACGGAAATTGATCAAGGATGAGTATGAAGATTAAGAATAGATAAAGAGTGCTAATTTGTGTTGAGGTACAGGAACGTAGAAAGGGCCACATTGGATGGATTCCCTATGTTAGGGAGCACAGGTAAGGTACTGAAGGTGCTGTCTACAGGAGTTGAAGGATAATATCACTAGGCTCTGGGCACAATAAGTAGAATAATGTTGAGGGTTCAACAGAGAACAGTGTATGGAGGAACTGAAGCTTGAGCTACTACTGGAAAGGATGAGTGAGGCCTGCAAGTTTAAGAGGCTGCTCTATTACAGTTCAGACTCAAACATCACAAAGTTTCAGGTAAAAGTTCAGTTTTCTAGGCATGGTGGTATACATCTGTAATTCTTCCAGCACTTGAGAGGTGGAGAAAATAGGATTGAAAAGTCCTAGGTTAAACTGGGCTATATATGGAGACCTTGTCTAAACAAATAAAAGAAAGTATAAGGCATGCAGTGTAGATGATGATGTGGATTAAGCACATTGGTGTCAGGTTCATCCATATGGCCACTGTATATGTCTATGATGGTAGATGAGATGCAAATTTGTATAAGTTTGGAAATGGGCTCAACTCAGTTTTCACAATCAAAAGCAAGTTCTTAATCTTTCTCCCTTGTTCCCCTCCTTTCTTGTTTTGTTCTGGGAGCCTGAACTCACCATTAAGATTTAGGTGTGAGCCACCAGCACCCAGCTGTTGTCTGCCTGCCAGCCCCCCCCTCTTCCCCTTCTCTCTCATTCTCCCTCTCTTTTCCCTTCCCTCCTCTCTCTACCTTTCTTTCTCTTTCTTTCCTTTTTTCTTGTGCCTGTCCTGGGGATTGAACTTAGGGCCTGGGCACTATACCTGAGCTTTTTTGCAGGCTAGTGCTCTACTACTTGAGCCACAGTTCCATTTCAACCTTTCTTGGTAGTTACTTGGAGATAAGAGTCTCATGAACTTTCTTGTCTGGTTTGCTTCAGATGTCAGCCTCTTGAATAGCTGAGATTACAGGCATGAGTAATCAGCACCTAGGTGTTGTTTCTTAATGAATGTGGGGGCTGGGTGGGTCCTGGTTCTGCTTCTTTACTAGTCGTCTAGCCATGAATAAATCGTTCTTTTTCTGTCCCTCAGTTTCCTCACCCACAACTTGGAGATAAAAGTCTCAAACTCAGAGAGCTATAGTGATAATTAAACTACTACATAGCTTGGGGTAAGTACTGAGAATACCATGTCAGTTCCTATTAATGAAAAGCTTAACATACAAATGAAATATTTTAGGAGTAAAGTTATAGAAATATAGAAAACAAGGTGCCTGGGTAAATGGCAAGGTTTAGGGTGCAGACTCTATGCCAGATGGTTGGCTAGCTGCTTTACAAATCCTGCCACATCCTAGCAAGATACATGTCTTCATCTGAGAAATCATAATAGAGTTAAATAAGCTGTCCGGGGCTCACCTAAGTAGAAACAAGTTGGAGTTATTTTAAAAAGTTGGTTTGGCACAAGAGCAACTGGGAAAGGAGCCCTCAAGGTGGGGGACACCACCACAGCCTCAACAAGGGGTAGTGGGAAGCTGGGAGGTCAAGGATGGATTCACACGGTGTTTATTGCCTGTCACAAGGCAAAATTTGGCCTTGGAAATGAGGACAACACCGAGATGTACGTGAGTTGAAACCTAGCAGATCACCAGGCCCAGGAATCCCAGTTGGGTCAGCGTATCTCCACTTACTAAGTAACGTAACTGCCCGATGCTGGCAGGTCTCACGCCGCGGACCCAGTCTCCACGCGTGACTGAGCCGTAAAGCACTCCCACGGAGGCGCAGCACTGCGGGCGACCTGCGCTCCGCCCGCGCTCCGCCCCGGCGCCGCGTCCCCCGAGGCTCCGCCCCCGAGTCCCCCGAGGCTCCGCCCCCGGCGCCGCAGAACGCGGCCAACTACCCGCAAGGGAGCCTCTGCAAGGCTGGCAGTCGGTCACGTGTGGCGCCAGTCACGTGGCGCACGCTCACGTGATTGCGGTGAGCTCCCCGTCCCGTTCCGCCTTTCCTGGGCCGCGGGGTAGTCTGCGGGTTGGAGTTACTACTCTGGAGCCCGCCGAACCGTGGACCGGATGGTGAGAGTGGAGAGCAAGGCTGCGCTGGGCCTGGGCCGCCGCCGCCGCCGCCGCCGCCGCCCCCAGGCTCATCTCCTTTTCTCTCGTCCTTCCCTCTGCAGATGAACCCGACCACCCCAGACCCGGAGCGGGCGCCGGCCTCCGAGCCCGTGTGGGAGCGGCCCTGGTCGGTTGAGGAGATTCGCAGGAGCAGCCAGAGCTGGTCGCTGGCGGCCGACGCGGGCGTGAGAGGCGGGCTCTGGGGTGACGCGGTCTGCGAGCGGGGCCCGGGCCTTATTCCCCTGCCCTCAAGCCCACCCCTCGGCTTGCGGTCTTGGGAGTACACATCCCCTCCTCGCCCAGACACCTGGAGGGAGGGGCAGGGGGGGGCACTGTACCTGCAGCACAACACAGGGTTCTCAAGCGGTGCCTTGAACCGCATCCTGGAGGGCAGATCTGTGCCTGCCAGACTGAGGGATGGCTGGGGCACTATTGAGCCCTGGACTAAATATGGTCAGTAAGTGGTTAGCCTTGAGTGAGACGATTTCAAGTTTGTGACTCCAAAGCTCGAAGCTTCAATACCAGGGTCTTATCTGATTTTAGATGTATGCTTGCTATCTTATACTTCATCTGTAATTCTTTTTTTAATAATGCTGTATTGTTGTTTTCATTATTATTACTATTACTATTGTTATTTTTGTCGGTTGTGGGGCTTGAACTCTGGGCCTGGGCGCTGTCCCTTAGCTCTTCAGCTCAAGGCTAGCACTCTACCACTGAGCCACTTGCCTAGTCCCATCTGTAATTCTTGTAGAATGACAACTGAACAGGCCTTAACATTCCCCATAAATGAGATAGCAAGTGACTGTTTACTTTGTGTGCCTATGTGCTGGTACTGGTGCTTGAATTCGGGGCCCAGGAGCTGCCTCTTAGCTTTTTATGATCAAGGCTGGTGCTCTAACACTTGAACCAGAGCCTCAGGGGCTTTCCTGCTGGGGCTGGCTTTGGCCTGTGATCCTCATATCCCAGCTTTTTGAGTAGCTAGGATTACAGGAATAAATCACCGCACCCAGCTCTATATTACTTTTTGATGAGTTGTCCTACTGTTTTCAGTGCCCCTTGATCTGTCAAAAGCTTCATCCCTTTTAAGTTCTGCCACACACAAGTGAAAGATGGTTTTTTTCTTAGTTTTGACCCATAGAATAAACACATAAAAATACGGATACCATTGTATGTTTTTGTTTTTAGCTACTACAGTTTCTGCAGGAATTTTCACAGCAGACGATCTCCAGGACCCATGAAATCAAGAAACAGGTGGATGGATTAATTCGGGAGACGAAAGCTACAGATTGTCGCCTCCATAATGTCTTTAATGACTTCCTTATGCTGTCTAATACCCAGTTCATTGAGAATGTGAGTCGTGTAGTTACATCATGCTTACAGTTACTTTGGGGGAAGCAAGAGCTGTTATAATAGTAATGACCTATTATGAGGTTAGCTGTTAAATTTTGATGGACATGATAATTCTTAACAAGTGTAGTCAAGTTTGTGTTTTTTTAGCCTTATAAAGAAACCTAATGATAAATTTTCCTCATTTCAACTTTTGTATCTTTTTAGTTTTGAGAGAAAAGAGCTGTGCTGAGTTTTGTGGTATTCAGACAAGCTTTGTTATGGCACATTTTGTGATGATGGCCACATAGGAGGTTTGCTCCCTTCACTAGCTTGTTGCTTCAGTTATTAAGTCCATTATATTCTGGTAAATTGCATTAAAGTATTGTGTATGTCTACTTGGAATATTCTTAGAAGTTTTCTTACAGTGTGTAAATCTATGATATCATGTGTGATTTTTGTAGACATTGAGTTTCTGTTAGAGTATTCTAGCAGAATACTCTGAGTATAGAGTATTCTGAGTATTCTGCCAGAATACACAGGCAAATTTATATATAAAATACATATAAGAAGGGTTGGGATTGGGGGGGAAGGGGGGAGGCTGGGAAGGGATGTGAAGGGTAAACCAAAGGAGGAGGCTGCAATGCTTGGTAATAAATGTACGCATTATCCTGAAAAAAAATAAAATACATATAATATTTTATTGATATAAATTAATTGTTCAGGAGGTTTCATATTTACCTTGATCATAATCATCCCTCCAACATTCTTCCTCCTCTCCCTTTCCCCTTTTCCCAAACCAATCTCATCAAATTTCCTTGCTCCATTTTCAGACAGGTATATATTTTATCTGTATTTACCTTCTTTCCCCTCCCCATTTTCCTGTCCCTCTCCACTAATGCCTATTCCTCAGACAAGACATATTTCAACTTCCTATTTTTTTTTGTTAAAGTGCAAGAGTTTCCATTGTAGTGTCTCACACATACTTATGTTTTAATAAATGTGTATATACAGAACACACAGATTCTGTATGTACTATGTATATATTAGTTTTTAGGTATAGTATCCACATACAAGGGATAAATGTGTCCTTTGTTCTTCTGAGCCTGGGTGCATTTAATATGAAGGCCCATCCATTTCCCTGTAAATGACATAACTATTTCTTCAATATTCCATTGTGTATATATACCATATTTTCTTGGCCCATTCATCAGTTTTATGGCATCGAGATGTGCAGGTACCTCTATTATATCCCAGCTTGCATTCCTTTAGATTAGTGGCCAAAAGTAATACTGCTGGACTCTATGAGATAGTATTTTGAGGAACCAACATTTTTTCTTATGACCATCCTAATTGGATTGAGGTGGAATTTCCCTGTCTTTTTTATTTGTATTTCCTTTATGGCCAGGAATATTCAGAGTTTCTTTATATATTTATTGTACAACCTCTACCTTGGTGTAGATAGTATAATTCTATTACAATAGAGTAATTAGCAGGAAAGTAGGCATGCTTGGAACTGAATCAGACAAAGGAAGGCTGTTAAGATAGGAAGATAGAGAAGAAGATTATATAAGGTGACTTGGGTTTCTCAAAGAGCTGATATTCTGAATACCACCCTTAACTTGTGAAAAGGGAATTTTAAAATTAGGCTATCACCTGGGAGTGTTAGGTGTAAGATACAAAGCCCACAATCTGAGATTAGGAGAAAGGCAATAATACCACACAGGAATTTGTGTAGCATGTTTATGCATGCTTTGATGGCTCAGGCTGAAATGCCAAGTCTGTATAGCATTTTGGGGAGGTTTGTGTGGAAGATCTTAATGAAGGTCTTTGAGATCTCTTTGCTAATTATTCTAATGGCAAAGGGATACTTGTTTGAAATATCACAAATATGCTAAAAAACTCAGTACAGTCCAAAGTATTTGTTGTTTGGAATGCTTGGGACCAGAAGTGTTTTTGATTTCAGAGGTTTTTCAGGTCTGGAATATTTGCATAGATTTTATAGGTTCAATATCTGTAATCTGAAACACTCCAAACACCACAACTTTTTGATATGGCAGGACCTAAATGTTTTGGATTTTAGATTTCAGATTAGGGCTCCTCAACTGTAGTCAGTCATTTTCTAATAATATGCACAGGACTTGTTTGGCTCTAAGCAGATGTCTCAGGGAGAGTTCATGTAGGGGATTTGGGTCTAGTTCCCTGGTAAACATATTGTTCAGCTGATCTGGAAGGCTCTTTCTTTCATACCCAATGGTCTCTACCAGTTGGGTATTGGATTGGTACCAAATCAAGTCTATAGTGGTGCAAAGAGGAGTCAGCATAAACTTAATATTTTGAACCATAGTCTTTTTTTGGGGGGGTAGTTTTTCAGTTTTCTTCCATGTTTAGTTTTCTTTTTCTTTTTCGTTTTCTTTTGGTCGGTTGTAGGCCTGAACTCTGGGCCTGGGTGCTGTCCCTCAATTCTTCAGCTCAAGGCTACCACTTGAGCCACAGCGCCACTTCCAGCTTTTTATGCTTATGTGGTGCTGAGGAATTGAACCCAGGGCCTCATACATGCAAGGCAAGCACTCTACCACTGAGCCTCTTTCCCAGTCCTGAGTCTTAGTTTTCATGGTCTAGTTTTTGTGACATTTACTTTATTTTTGTTTTGGTGATAGCTTACTAGAGTCAATTTATATGAATTCTTATATTTCTGTGTGTACAGTTGATCTTGTCCTCTCCATCATTCTCTATTATCCCATTTCCCCCTCCCAACATAACTTCCATCTGTCTTACTAGTCTATTTTTATAGATGCAAACAAGCCATTTCATCCATATTCATGTTCACTTACTCTCTCAGCCCAACCCATCCCACTGGAACCCATTCCAATAATGCAGCCTATGTCTCTTTCCTGCTATCCTTTGTTTTCTACCTCTTTCCATTCCCCTACTATTTTTAAAATATATTTTTATTATAAAGAAACTGTACAGAGGGGTTACATTAGCAAGGTAATGAATCCATTTCCTATTGAGCATTGTTACCTCCTCCTTTGTTTTCCATCTCCTCCCTCCCCACCTCTCTAACTCCTCCCTCCCCCCCCCACCAAAGTTGTAAAGTTCATTTTCAACATAGTGTCTTGTACATCTTGTTGTTGCAGTGGGTCATCCTATATTCTTATTTCAGCATTTTGTTCTTTCCCTTTGCCTCCCCAAATTAGAAAAATGTATATACAAGATGCAGGGCACTGGAATCAAATACAGGGGTTATACCATGGGAGAAGACCATACAAAAGAAACAAAAAAAAATTACATAGTGCATTATAAGTACATTAAAACAACAGCAAGAAAGATAAAACCTCTTGTGTCCCTTTCTTGGGGTTCATTTCATT